GATCTAATTAAACTAAAGAGCTTCTGCACGGCAAAAGAAACTAACATCGGAGTGAACAGGCAACCTACAGAATGGGAGAAAAATTTTGCAATCTACTCATCTGACAAAGGGCTAATATTCAGAGTCTACAAAGAACTTAAACAAATTTACAAGAAAAAATCAAATAACCCCATCAAAAAGTGGGCAAAGGATATGAACAGACACTTCTCAAAAGAAGACATTTATGCAGCCAACGGACACATGAAAAAATGCTCATCATCACTGGACATCAGAGAAATGCAAATCAAAACTACATAGAGATACCATCTCACACCAGTTAGAATGGCAATCATTAAAAAGTCAGGAAACAACAGGTGCTAGAGAGGATGTGGAGAAATAGGAATACTTTTACACTGTTGATGGGAGTGTAAATTAGTTCAACCATTGTGGAAGACAGTGTGGCAATTCCTCAAGGATCTAGAACTAGAAATACCAGCTGACCCAGCCATCTCATTACTGGGTATATACCCAAAGGATTATAAATTATGCTGCTATAAAGACACATACGCACATATGTTTACTGTAGCACTATTCACAATAGCAAAGACTTGGAACCAACCCAAATGTCCTACAATGATTGACTGGATTAAGAAAATGTGGCACATATACACCATGGAATACTATGCAGCCATAAAAAAGGATGAGTTCATGTCCTTTGTAGGGACATGGATGAAGCTGGAAACCATCATTCTCAGCAAACTATCACAAGGACAGAAAACCAAACACTGCATGTTCTCCTTCATAGGTGGGAACTGAACAATGAGAACACTTGGACACAGGAAGGGGAACATCATACACTGGGGCCTGTTGTGGGGTGAGGGGAACAGGGAGGGATAGCATTAGGAGATACAGCTAATGTAAATGACAAGTTAATGGGTGCAGCACACCAACATGGCACATGTATACATATGTAACAAACCTGCATGTTGTGCACATGTACCTTAGAACTTAAAATATAAATAAATAAATAAAATTTAAAAAATAAAAATACAAAAATTAGCTAGGATGGTGGTGGATGCCTGTAATTCCAGCTACTTGGGAGGCTGAGGCATGAGAATTATTTGAACCCAGGAGGCAGAGGTGGCAGTGAGCCAAGATCGTGCCACCGCACTCCAGCCTGGGTGACAGAGTGAGACTCTGGCTCAAAAAAGAAAAACACGAAAATGGCATAGATTAAATTCAGAATGTCATTTTCAATTATAAGACAAATAATTCAGCTACAAAACAAATACAATGTAATTTGGATATGTAGGCTAAAAAGGACAAAATTCTAAAATATTTCATATTTTAAAGAGCCTGAAAAATATTATTATTATTTCCAGGAAATGTCCGGGCACAGTGGCTCATGCCTGTAATCCCAGCACTTTGGGAGGCCAAGGCAGGCGGATCACCTGAGGTCAGGAGTTCAAAACCAGCCTGACCAACATGGAGAAACCCCATCTCTATTAAAAATACAAAAAATTAGCCGGGTTTGGTGGCACATACTTGTAATCCCAACTACTTGGGAGGCTGAGGCAGGAGAATCACTTGAACCCAGGAGGCGGAGGCTGCGATGAGCTGAGATCATGCCATTGTACTCTAGCCTGAGAAACAGGAGTGAAACTCTGTCTCAAAACAATATATATATATATTTCCAGGAAAAAATAGAAAATATGTATAGGACCCTTGATTTTCTAAGCTATAATATGGTTTGGAGGAAAAAGCAAACATGCTACAGAAAGGGTTGAATAAAACTTTGAAAAATGTGTCCCTACCCATCTTCTTTATGTGCTTCTTAATTTTTTTTGGTTTGTTTTTGTTTGTTTGTTTGTTTTTTTGAGATAAGAGTCTTGCTCTGTCACCCAGGCTGGAGTGCAGTGGCCGGATCTCAGCTCACTGCAAGCTCCGCCTCTCGGGTTCCTGCCATTCTCCTGCCTCACCCTCCCGAGTAGCTGGAACTATAGGCACCCGCCACCTCGCCCGGCTAGTTTTTTGTATTTTTTAGTAGAGATGGGGTTTCACCATGTTAGCCAGGATGGTCTCGATCTCCTGACCTCGTGATCCACCCATCTCGGCCTCCCAAAGTGCTGGGATTACAGGCTTGAGCCACCGCGCCCGGCCGGAAATTTTTTATAAAGATATGCCAAACAGTTATCTTAAAGTTCAAAGTTATTTAACTCTTTTTATTTCAAGAAAATTCCAATCTGAGCAGGTGGATTAAATGAAAAATATAACCAAAGGGCTCATCTGAGTGATTTAGTCCTACAAATAAAGTGGAAGTGATGGTGTGTGACTTCCAAGACCACATCACAAAAGGCATTACATCTTCCTCTTTGCTTTCTTGTGAATCAAATCGCTCTAGGAGAAACCAGCTGCCATGTTGAGAGAACACACTCAAGCAGCCAGAAGGAAAGTTATATGTAGCAGGCAACTGAGGCCTCTTACCAACAGCCATAAAGGACTGAGGTCCCCTGCCAAGAGCCATGTGAATGAGCCCTCTTAGAAGCAGAACCTTCAGCCCCATTAGTGCCTTCGGGCAGGGTCTGTAAATATTCCCCGTGAAGTTGGTAAGGTCTGTGTAACTGCGTCCAAGAATCAAATACCCTGGAAATGAAGCTGCCAAAATATCAAGGCTAGATTTGAAAATGCCTTGAAGCAGCTGGGCGCGGTGGTCACACTTGTAATCACAGCACTTTGGGAGGCCGAGGCAGGTGGATCACCTGAAGTTAGGAGTTTGAGACCAGCCTGACCAGCATGGGGAAACCCCGTTTCCACTAAAAATACAAAATTAGCAGGGTATGGTAGCGCATGCCTGTAAACACGGGAGGCTGAGGCAGGAGACTCGCTTGAACCCGGGAGGCACAGGTTGCAGTGAGCCGAGATAGCGCCATTGCACTCCAGCCTGGGCAACAGCAGCGAAACCGCATCTCAAGAAAAAAAAGAAAGTGCCTTGAAGATTTTGCTGGTTTCTCCTGGAGCACTGACTCCAGAAGCCTTCAGCCAACAAGAAGAAAGTCTGGGTACTCTGAGACCATCAAATGGAAAAAGTACAAGCAGAAATCACAGAGAGAAGAGCTGCCTGTAAAGCCCTGTAGCAGCCCCCAGCTATTTAAGTCTTCCCAGCCCAAGTACCCAGACATAGGAGTAATGCAGCCTTTGACATGAGTCCATCCCTACCCACGATCTGATGCAATTTCATAAAAGACCATGACCTGCTTAGCTAAGCCCAATATCCAGAGGAGACTGAGAAAATCTCTTTTCTCTTTTTCTGGAGAGAGAAAAATAAATGGTTGTTTTTTAAGCCACCAGCTTTTGGGTGGTTCGTAAAGCAGTAACAGATAACCAAAACTCTCTATAAGGTAAAGGCCACCTGCTTTATGATAACTTTCTTAATTCCCCAGGCAAAAATTAGCATGGCCTTTCTTCAAGTCTTCTAATACCTGTTTACAGAAGCCATGCACTATGATCACATCCTGTGTTGGCAGCATAATTACTTGTTTCCCTGGCTCTCTAAGAGTAAAAATTCTCAGAGGGCAGCAGCTATGCGTAACAGAACTTTGTATCCACAGTACCTAGCAGAAAAATATTACTTTCTCTCTCCCCATTAAAAATTCATATAGATTACCACGACCACAGGTATTCCTGTTACTATGTTAACACATCAAGAGGAAACAAATCCTAGTAGGAGCATAAAAATGCAGATGGCACCTCTGAGCTGCTTTGTTAGCTTCTGTGGCCTGGATCCTTATGGAATTCTTCCCTGATGATCAGAGTTTACAGAGCACTTTCACACGCATTAACTCATTTGGGTCTCTCATAACTTCATGGGTGAAGAAAGGGGGTATCATTCCTATTTTCCAGACGCAGAAAATGGAACTAAAGTAATTTAGCAAATGTGTGGCACAGAGTTAGAACCTGAACTGGTGTTCTGACTCCACAAGCACTGTCCTCCCCATTCGTTCCAGATGTCTCACAATGGATGACTGGCCCTAATCACACGACCATCACATTGCCATGTGCAAGTCCAAAGATAAAGATGCTGATGCTATACCTTCACACAGACTAGAAAAGGATAAGTGACACACACGATTACTAAAACTAGAGACCTTAAGAGTCCTACATATTACAATTGTAAAATATTTAGTCCATAAATATGTTAAATATATATGTGACTTAGAGGAATCCAATTTGAAACCACTGCTTATACAACCAAATGACCAACAACTGTTCTTGCAGAAATCAGCATAAGACAAAATTACCAAAACAAAAAAAAAAGTATTAAAAAGACTGGTGAGCAGAACAATGTAGTTAAGGAAATATGAAATGTAGAGTCAAAAAGACTTTCCTTAAAAGCCAAAGCCTACGATTTAACCTTGCTGGGCAAAATATTTAACTTCTCTGATCTCCAACTTCCCTTGCAAAATGAGAAGAATACTAAAATCAACATCATTTATGAGATGATTAAATGAGATACAATACATGAAAACGCCACCAAATAGTAAATGCATAAAGTTTTCTAACAAATTGTTCAGGTTCAAACACAAAACCAAATTTAGACACTGAAGGTGAACTGGTAAGGTTGGTTTGTTTTATATGTAAGTTTTCTGATTATAAATGACTTCTGCTCCTGATCACACAACCACTTTGAGGCACCCTGAATAAGCTTGTCTTCATTTAAATAACAGATGGTTCCAGAAGCTCAATATTGGCACATTTTTATAACATGCCAATTTTTCTAGAAAATACTAATCCTTGCCCAAAGATGCTCTTCTTAGCTAGTTGAGAGGCTGAGGCAGGAGGATTTCACTGCACTCCAGCCGTGAAGTGCTCTGTTGTCTCACTCCAGAGCAACAGAGCGAGACCCCATCTAAGAAAAAAGATGTTCTTCTGACACCTTAAGTATATATTCTGCTATTCTCCTGCAATGATGTCAAGAATAATACAGAAAGCTTGTTCTGCAGCTTAGTACTCAAAAGACTTACCTGCAACCCTCAGCAGTTCAGCAAGGCCCAGAAGCTTGGTAGATTGTTTATAGCATGTCGGGGACTGGGAAATACACTCCTTGATGAGACTGATCCGATCAGGGCACAATCGCACTACAAAAGAAAGACATATTAAAGACTTGCACCAGGGACATCACAAAAGGGTGTTAATGGCCTTCCTAATACAATGCATCCAAAGAAAATGAAAATTGTGTAAAGCTTCAGATGAAGGAGAATTAAGTAAAAGTAAAAGGCATGTTTAACAAACAGCAAAATTATTATTGCTTCTGAGTAAATAATGTACAACCTTGATCTTTTCTTTATAACCAAACTTCTGAAGCATAGGAAATGAAGTGTTAATCTGAAACTGGAAAAAGCTATGTTGCTATTTTATGTACCATGTTGGGACTTAGGGAAAAATTTAAACAAGATAGTATTTGTATACAATACTTAGTATTATACCAGCCCCCTCACACTTCACCCCCTAAGCCCCATTCCTTGCTCTAAATATCCATTTACTATCTCCACTCATCACCCCAGTTTGGAGGGCAGGAGTCTTCAAAGTGCTTACTGTTGCAATTTATTAACCTTCCTCCAAACATAAGCCCAATTTTCTCACATAAACTGGATATTAGGAAAATAAAACACATCTGATCAAACCAAGTCAAACTATGAAGAAATGAAAATCACATTTTAAAAACCTTAGACAAAAGGTACTACGAATATTCTAGGAACAAATGGTACTTATTTACAGTAGAGATGGCAACCTTTAAGAAACACGGCACTGCCAGGGAGACTGGCCCCCAATAATTGTAATAATAACAACTACGATAATAACAGCTATTGTGAAAGGAATACGATGAGCTACATCTCAGGCACTGTTGGGGGTGCTTTATGTATATTAACCCTACACAGCAAACTCTTATTAATAGAAGGCAGGTACCATTATCCTCAAGAGAAGAAACTGAGGTGCAGAAAGGTTAAGTACTTTGGCAAAGGTCACCGAAAAAGTGATGGGACCAAAATTCAACCTGGCTCGCTAAATGTTTTCACACCTTGAATCTATCCCTTCCTAAATCAGTGGCTGTTCTCCATACGTCTTGTGTTCTCTGAAAACTTCTACATAGGTGAGAGGGGCCAGGGACGGGGGAGATAAAGAACAGAGGTGGTGTTTTTTCTCTGGAATGGGCTTTTTGGGGGAAGGTAAGGATTTACTACAATTTAATGTTAAACTCATAAAAGGTTGCAAGGAAAGTACAAAGAAATCCTCTATACTCTTTGCTGAGGTTAACAGATGATTAATAATTTGCACCTTCACACATGCCCATGTGCAATCATGCACACACACCCTCCCTGCTTCCTTCCTCTTTATATTCACACACAAATATGTATATACACACACAAATACTTATACATGTACAAATACATATACACATTTATAATACACATGTATACATGTGCATATATACACAGTTACACATATACACACACAAATATACATACACATTTACTTTTTTCTGAAACATTTGAGAATAAGTTGCAAATAACATTTCTCTTTATTGCTAAACACTTCAGTGTGTGTTTCCTAATGTTTTGACTCTCTCTTTTTTTTTTTGATTTTTTTTCTCCCTCTGTTGCCCAGGCTGGAGTGCAGTGGTACAATCTCAGCTTACTGCAACGTCTGCCTCCCAGGTTCAAGCGATTCTTCTGCCTCAGCCTCCCCAGAAGCTGGGACTACAGGCACATGCCACTACGCCTGGCTAATTTTTGTATTCTTATTAGCGACGGGGTTTCACCATATTGGCCAGGCTGGTCTAGAACTCCTGACCTTGTGATCTTCCCTCCTCTGCCTCCCAAAGTGCTAGGATTACAGGCATGGGCCAACACACCTGGCCTAGACTCTCTTAAAATGAATCTTTATATATCTACAATAATAATTCTGATGTGTGTGGCCTTTACTATGAAATATAAAGTAAATGTACTCTTCAGTTACTTCCTTCAAAATCACCATTGCTAATACCTACATCTGAGTATAGCTTCTACAGACTGTATTACTGTTCCCAATTATCCACTGCAACTATTCATATCCCAAATTGCTGCTTCAGTAACAGAAGGCTTGGCCCTGTGACATCTACAGGCAATTAATGTGAGTGGAAATGATACATGCCACTTCCGCGTGAACACTGTTAAGAGTCATCGTGGAATTCCACTACAGATCTTTCCCCTCTACTGTGACAAGGCCGTGTCTCATGGGGTGGTGCTGCGGCCAACCAAAGTGCACACGATTGTGAGCACGGAATAAGTCTGTTATCACACATTATGGAGATTCTGAGTTTTTCACTACAGCACAATCGTAAAGACTCACCGATACAGTATACTTCAAGCCTTTCCATACCTTATCACAATAAAAATATTGTGAATTTTTTCCTCAATATCTGCTACTATTTTGTGGGGCTTTTTCCAGATTCAGTAACATATGATAATTATGAGATAAGTACTTTTAACATATTTCTAATTTGATTTTCAAAACAAAACTTGTCGCAGATACTATCTGCATTCTGCTATGTAAAAATCTGGAGTTTTCATAGCTGCTTTTATGGCTTTGTTGATCAATTACTGTATTCTTCTTAGAGAAGCTCTAGCTTTAGTAATTCTACTAAACTGACTTCCTTACTTTTACCACTCTTTTTCTAGCTCAATAAAATCAAGGTAGAGAACTGAAACCACACACAGCAATGGATCATCATTTTCTCGAAACTTCCATTTAATGGAACACTCATCTTTAATTATTTGTCTCCTATTGCCCTAAGCAATGCACACTACTAATATTTGAAGTACATTAAACAAATTTGGAGAGCAGGATTCTAATAGACTGCAATTACCCTGTTCAAATGACTTTTTACTTTATTTACTTACGTATTTTCTGATCCTCTGGACAATCACTATTCCAGTTTGCTTTTTCTGCTGATTTAGGGCCTGCTTAATTATATTTCAAAATGTAAATTCTCAGTTAAATAAATTTAAGCCCTAGATATTACTATCTTTCCAAGAAGGAAGAAGTGCTCAACTCCTAAAATTCCTTTCCAAACTGAATGAATGAGCATGAAAAAGATATGCATGTATGTATCTTTTAATAATTAAAGATAAACTAATTTTCCTGTAGAAATCATGAACATATCTCAAGTGATTTTTTTAAAACCTTTTATAAAATACATGTATACATACACACACACAGACATATGTGTGCCTGTGTGTCTCAAATGTAAAAAGCATTTTCTAACTGGCTACCTATATTCCAAATGCCCCTCAAACGACAGTTATGCAATATCAATTTCAGTCACTTGGGAATGGCAACAAAGGTCCACAACAAATGAAGTTACTAGTGATGTTGTGGAAGTATTATACAAACTTGAATTGTGTAGGCCAGGAAGGTGTAATACACAGGAGTCAGACACTTAGCTGACCAGTAAGAGGATAAGAGTTTCCTTCTTGAAGAACCTTTTACTCTCACACTTTTTCCTCAGTAGAGTATTGTCTGCTGTTACAAATGTAGGTTTTTGAGCCAGACTACCTAGGTTTGAATCCTGGCTCCACCTCTAACTAACTGGATGACCCTAGGCAACCCAGTCAAGTTACTTAACCTCCCTGTGCCTTGATTTCATTATCTGAACACTGGAAACAATACCACCACCTTACATGGCATGGTTTTATTTTGAGATAGGGTCTTGCTCTGTTGCCCAGGCGTGGGTGCAGTGGCACAATCTCAACTTACTGCAGCCTCGACCTACTAGGAGAAGCGATCCTCCTGCCTCAGCACCCCAAGTGGGACTACAGCCATGCACTACCAAGCCTGGCTAATTTTTTAATTTTTTAAAAAATAGAGACGGGTTTTGCCATGCTGCCCAGGCTGGTCTCAAACTCCTGAGCTCAAGCAATCAACTCACCTCAGGCTCCCAAAGTCCTGGGATTAGAAGCATGAGCTACCATGCTGCTCAAGGCCATGGGAGCCCACCCTTTGCATCAGTGTGCCCTGGATGTGAGACATGGAATCAAAGGATATTATTTTGGAGCTTTAAGATTTAATGACTGCCCTGCTGGGTTTCAGACTTGCAGGGGCCTGTGGTCCCTTTGCTTTGGCCAATTTCTCCCATTTGGAATGGAGGTATTTATCCAATGCCTATATCCCCATTGAATCTTGGAAGTAACTAGCTTGCTTTTGATTTTACAGGCTCCTAGGTAGAAGGGACTTGTCCTGTCATAGATGAGATTTTGGACTTGAACTTTTGAGTTAATGCTGAAATGAGTTAAGATTTTGGGGGACTGCAGGGAAGGCATGATTGGTTTTGAAATGTGAGGACATGAGATTTGGGAGGGGCCCTGGTGAAATGATATGGTTAGGCTTTGTGTCCCCACCCAAATCTCATCTTGAATTGTAATTCCCAGGTGTTGAGGGAATGACCTGGTGGAAGGTGACTGGATCATGGGGGTGGTTTCCCCCATGCTGTTCTCATGAGAGTAAGTTCTCACTACTACTGATGGTTTAAAAGCGTGGCACTTCTTTGTTCTCAAATACACTCTTCTCTTTCCCACCAACAGATGAAGAAGGTCCTTGCTTCCCCTTTGCCTTCTGCCATGACTGTAAGTTTCCTGACGCCTCCCCAGTCATGTGGAACCGTGAGTCAATTAAACCTCTTACCTTTATAAATTACTCAGTCTTGGGTATTTCTTTATAGCAGTGTAAGAACAGGTTAATACAATGCCCAAAGGGCGTTTTGTGAATTAGTGAATACATATAAAGTATATTTGGAACATAAAAATCACTCCATAAATATTAGCTATATTATTATCTAATGGAATCTTCTAATACAAGGTTTCTCCAGATATAACTTACAGGACTGTGTAAGGAATATTTTATTAGTATCCCAATCTGAGAAATGTGAAGCTCAAAGACACTGTTGCCACAGATTACACAGCTCAAAGTGGCTGCACCATAATGTAAGCTCACACATGACACTCAGGGGTAATCCTGTCTCATTATCAGTGTGACAGCCCTGTAAAGTCATAGAATGTGCCTTGTCCCCGTCATTATTTCAGTTCCCAGAGTAGGGTAAGTGCCTACATTTATGTTTATTAAAGAAAGCAAAGGCGGGGAGGTGGAGAGAGGGCAATGAACAGATGCTGAGGAGGGAGGGGAAGAATGTGAGGAAGAAAGGAAAAAGGAATGAAGAGAAAGGAATCAGGGAGAATGAGAAGACAGGTGAGACCACACTAATTCTATGATTATTTAAAAAATACCTTTAAGTATCAAAAATAATCATTGATATTGTACAGTCCTTACTATATCTTAGGCACTATAAATGTATACATATTCCTTATAAGCAATTCTGTAAGATTCTTATTAGTATCCCCATTTGGTAAATGAGAAAACTTAAAGAAAGGTTAAAACTTGCCCCCAGTTACCCAGTAATAAGTGGCAGAAGTAGCTCCAGGCTGAGTGTAACTAAAATGCTATAAATCAGAAAAGCTGACTTACCCTATTACAGAAAGAACATGTGGACCAAATGAAATATTCAAAGGCTGCTCATTTAAATATTAAGAAAAATTTACATAAACACCCAAAACAAAGAGAAAAGCATACACATGTACACATACACAAATACTTCACAGAAGACTCACACATAGGGAGTCATTTTTACATGCGACTTCCGTTCCTGTTTTCAATTAGCTCATTGATTACAATTTAGTTAGAAATGCTTGCCTTCACTTGACAAGAAACAGCAACTCCTGGAGTGTAGGCAAAGAAGGCTTCAAAACAAAGCAAAGTGACAAAATGAACTATGTACGCTGACTACAATAAAAATACCTAAACCATAAATTTCTAAATATCAAGTTGTTTTCTTTCTCCAATATTACTGATGAATACAAAAGAAGCTAAAACCTAAATGGCATCTGTGAGATAAACACAACAAAAAGTATACAAAGGCAATATTCCATCTTCACATCCGGAAGGTTTTCTGACAGTCGTTCTAATGGGCAACTCCAACTCAATATATCAAGGTGGAAAGCTGTCAAGACATGAAAGCAAATGTCTTTCTTAAAATACTCCTCAGTCAGAAAATTCTCAGAAGCTACAGCACGGCAACGGTTTTGGTTGTGGGTATTCAAATCCAGCAGCTGATATACGTATCACCAGCCAAAAATACTGCTAACTGATCAGCACAGAAAATCAGGGCTCAATGTAATATTTCAAAATCCAGTAGCACTTGGGTGGACTGTAAGAAAAATTTTTTGTATTATACCAATCTGCTTGAATTATATAAGGAGGTAAAACACAGACACACAGATACACACACACACACACACACACACACACACAGAGTTAAATCTGTAACAGCATGGCCTAACAAGAGATAAAAACAGAGCAACAGCTTCATTGTGCTCTGGATTCTTCCTTGACTAAAATTGCAATTAAATAAATATTTGAGGGGGAAGTAGTTAATGACTTCAGACATTTAAGAATAAAAATCTTCACAATTTTAAGAAGTTTTGAGCTCAAAAATTACATGAATTGTACAAATGAATAAAATTTTCTAGTGATTTAGCAATCACATTAGAAAAAATTGCTTAAGATACCACAAGATAGTTATAATCATATACAAATTGTTTCCAAAAAATGATACTCAAAGTAATAATATTACCTCTTTTGAATCTAATAATTTTTTTTGAGACAGGGTCTAGGTCTGTTGCCCAGGCAGGAATGCAATGGCACGATCATGGCTTACTGCAGCCTCAACTTCCTGGGCTCAAGCAGTCCTCCCACCTCAGCCCCCTGAGTAGCTGGGACTACATACGCATGCCATTACACTCGGCTAACTTTTTTAATTTTTGTAGGGACAGAGTCTCACTATGTTGCCCAGGCTGGTCTCAAGCTTTTGGACTTAAGTGAACCTCCTACATCAGCATCCCAAAGTGCTGGGATTATAGGTGTGAGCCACTGTGCCCAGCCTAATGAGTTTTTCTGAGATGCAAAACTTTAACTTTTAGTCAAGTCACATTGGAAACCCACTGTAAACATGAGAATGTCTCTACTGGCCCATATCCTCTAAAATCCATCCAACTCTAATCACTACACAGGACAAAGACACCAAGGAACTCGTAAGAAATCTAAACTTCTGCCACCATCAGTCTCAAATATTTCCAGAGTTGTTAAGAGAGGTAACAGATTACAAGGAAGTCAGCCAAGCACACTGCTAATAATACCAAGCCACTCTGTTCATTTAGGGCGCAGAGGTCCAGGATTTAATGCAACAGAAAATCTACCTTCCTCAACAGGGAAGGTCAGGTTTCAGGTCCAGTACACCACGAGATGCAAACAGTCCTCACAGCATAAATAGATGAGACAAGTGACTCTTTAACAGGATGCTTGTTTGGGATGATACCTAGGTAACTTTTATATTTAAATGAAAGAAGTTGAATAATATTAAGATATCTCTAGTAATTAAATTCTAAACAAAAATTTCCTATCATTCCCTCTTTTAAAAAAATAGATGGACTTAAAGAATATACTGACGCAAGCATAAAAAGAAAAAACTATTTTTATTTACAGCTAGTTATAAATCTATGCAACTGAAACAAAATACAGAAATAAATTATATACCAAAACTGATATAAATCTGATACATTCTCATGTGTAATCCCCAATATCTTTTTTTTGTTTTTACTCTATAGCCTCACTGCTCTGTTACTGATGTTATTTCTTTAAATGTTATACATGTGAATTTTAAAAAATAAATTTATAGTAAAATGTTGGCTTTATTTTTTCTTTTGGGTTTCCACTTAAGATTTCATTTAAAATAATGGGTCAAGGGCAAGATCTATTGCTATGGATTACATGACCGAAGCTACTCTTTAGTTTTAAAAACTGAAAAAGAATACTAGTAAATTACTGCAATGTAAGTTAGTAACAATGCAACAGTAAGTAGAAAACTCACCTTGCAAAGGCAGGATCTTTACCCCAAATTCTTCAAGACATCCAACGGCTTGGATAAGATCTAGCTCCTCTTGAATGGCAGGGGGTCTGTCTGTTATCAGTTGTAAGCAGCACCTAGAAGATATTAGATAAATTTTTAAAAAGAAGCAACGTATGTTTGCCCTTCTATATTCAACAACATGAGATCCAACACATATTTACCAAAAATCTACTACATCCCAGGAATTCATTCCGCTGGATGCCTTCTGTTATCTTAATCCTCACAGCAAGCCTGTGAGGTAGGCAAACATCATCATCTATCTGCCTTTTCAGGGAGCTAAAACTGAAGCTCATGGAAGTGAAGTAATTGAAACTGAAGCTCATGGAAGTGAAGTAATTGCCTACAGTTACATTCACAGTACAAAATGGCATCATGGTAGGAAGCATCATAACTCTGTTTAGTGCTGTTTTTACTGCTGAATGCAAACGTAATGATTATATTACAAAAATTTTTTTAAAGGATAAAGCTCAGATAATTTCCAGTTTCCCTTCTAAGAAAAACAGAAATGTCTTGATTTAGTCACAATTTGGTATCTCAAAAGAAACAAGAAATGACTTAGGAAACTGCACAGAGAACATGCTTCTGATCAAAAAGGAGGAATCTGTTGGTAATATACAGTTCTGAGATGAACTACAGAAGAAAGCGATTTGCTAAGCTAAGAATGTGGGATTCCCACGGAGTATTTTAAGTAAGTTTTTGTTTAAATTCAAAGAAACTGCATTTAATAAAAGTTTCATTTAATGAATAAACTCATTCTCTAAAGGTGTTTAGAGGAACATTGGAATGTAAGACCAGAAAGATAGATCAGACGGTAAAGGGCTCATGAATGCTAGAATCACAGATCATGAGATGCAGGCATGTAAGCCCCAGCATGGCATTCACATGACTGAGTGACAGATACAGGCCTAGCCTACTCTTGTAAAACTGGAGGATTTAAATCAATTGCGCACTCACATCTACTGTTGATTCAAGTGTGAAAGGTCTATAACCTCTTTGTGGTTTCTATCAAAACTGTAAATGCACTTTTTTACATTTTTTTCCTCTAGACCCGGGAATTACAAATAAATTCTAAATTACAAATAAATTCTCAAAATTTATATTACAGATAGGCTCACATGTGCTCAAAGACATATAATGATTGATGCTCACTACCAGATTGTTTTTAAAATGAAAGAACGCATACCGAATCAGGAACAAATTAAATAAATCATATAACGGAATATTCTACAACCATCAAAAAGGAATAAAATAGATCTGTCTGTACTCACATGAAAAACCTTCAATACAGAATATGAGTGAAAACTAAAACAGGGCACAGAAACGTATGCATAATAGTAAGAATTTATTCATGACTTAAGAAAGAAGAGGTAACATTTGATAAAAAGTTTTGGAAGGATATATAAGAAATCAATATTTAAAAATGACTGAAGGATAAAGTTAGGAGAACTAGAATGAGGAGGGCGACTTATTGTCAATACATACATCCTTTTTGTATTGTTTGGATATCTATTGCTTCCTCAACAATTTATTTACAAAGAGTTTATAAATAACTGTTTAATCAGTAAGAATGTATGGGCTATTTCCTGTATTCAATATAGCTGTGAACACTGAAATACATCCAGGCTCACAGGTCACAATCAGTTTGGTACCACATTATACACACAGGGCATGTTTGTGAAATGAAGGTGTGTCCTTGTGGGAGAGAAAGAGATGCAATGAAGGGGAAATATAGAAGGACCAGCTTTTTAAATGATCTCTGGGAAACACCTGCCAAAAAGATTGAAGTGAAATACAATTCCCAGTTTCAAAGGCTATTCTATTTGGTATTTTCATCATTTGAAATAAAAATAGAATCGCTTAGGAGAAAAGAAAGAGCTAACTGCTTTAAACAACTTTGTCAAGTTCAATAACATGGTTTGTGAAAACATAATTCCTTCTGAGATAAGATATCACTGATGGGGGCGTGGAAATGGGGGGGACTCGGTGGAGGGGTTACTTTTAAGCTTTGCTGGGTCTGAAATAACTATTAGTCATCTGGGGGGGAATCAATCTCTCCAAGATATCCTTCTTGTATTGTTTAAATATTTATTGCTTCCTCAATAAAATGCTAATTAATAAATAATACCTTAATCAGTAAGAATGTATGGGTTATTTTCTACATTCAACATAACTGTAAACAGTGAAATACACCCAGGCTCACAGGTTGCAATCAGTGCGGTGCCAGGTTACACACATACGGCATGTTTGTAAAATGAAGGTGTTCCAATTGCCACCATAATCAAAATATCAAAATAAATTCCAAATAAAGATAAAACTGAAATGTAAAAAATACAACTATCAAAGCACTAAAAAGTATGAAAAACTGTCTTAATAGTCTTGGGAATTAAAGATCTTTCAAAGGATGACAGAAAAGACAGAGATTGTAAAAGAATCACAATTTTAAAAGAATTCTGAATAGCAATTGGAAAGATAAATCATATATAATATAAACTTGGCAATGTAGTAAAATATTTGAAATAGGCATAGGGCAAACGTTCCTTATGCTCCAAAATAAGCTCATAAGAATCAATAGTAAAAAGATGAACACCCCAAAAGAAAAATAATTAAGGCTAGAAACAAGTTTCAAATGAAAAAGTGCAAATGAAGCTGTTCAACAGGCAAACACTGGAAAGACTGAAAATTAATTTAGAGAAGGGGCCCTTTAGTGCCTTAGGTAATGGAAAATAAACTGGTGCCATTTGATAACAAACAACAAAATTTTGCATGTGCTTATCCTTTGATCCAGCAATTTCTCTTTAGATTATCCATCTACAACAGGCATAGTTCTAACCACTTTACATACTCAGTTAATATTACAATAGCCCTATGATATAATCCTACTATTATCCACATTTTACAGGTGAAGAACCTGAGGTCCTGATGACTGGCCCAATGTCACAGGGCTGTTAGCTGGAAAAAAGTGGATTTGCACATAGACATCTGGCTGGAGAAACTGCTGTGTTCTTAACCTCTATACTCTGCTGCTTCTCGGACAATGAAAAGGTATATTAAATGCAGTCAGAAAAGAACTAAACAAATCTAGCACAATCACTCGACACAATGCTGTAAAGCATATGAAAATGCTGCAGATCTGTATATACTAGCTTCATAAACAACTGAAAAAAGTGTGTAATAAAAAGAAATGTATAGTATTATCTCATTTTTGTAAAACTATACACAGGTATAATGTGCAAAATAGTGGGCAAATGATTGGGCTCAAAAATCTCATTACTTTGTTTAAATAGTGAGTGGATAATTCCTATCAAATAAAATGTATAATCTCTTACAGACTGTTGACCAGAAAATCTGAGAAAACAGGATAAACTTAGGATGTACAGTGTTGCAAAAGCAGACACAGTAAGAATAACAAATAAGTAAATAATTTGCTAGAGACCATAGCCACCTTATTACTGAAGAGATTCTACCTTTCTTCAGTTTATTTGATCAAGAAACAAAAACCGAGAGATTACATGACAAACTCAGGGGTTCAGAAAAATTGTCAGTTGCCTTGAGGAGGAAAAAATAAATTAAAAAGTATGTGTCTAGAAATGAATGAGGATCAACACAGCTCTGAGTAAGAAACGCAGAGCAGAGTCTAGAAAGGGGATCTCAGACAAAGAGAAACTAAACAGACTCAGATGTCCAGGTACAAATGGAAGGAGAAATACGTATTAGAGGAACTAGACACGGCAAATGAGAGTTGGAAAATGACCAGTGGCAAGAACAGCAGCGTATCACTCAGAAGGCAGGGGACAGAGGACATAATACAATTGAAGATGTGCCTCGACTTACAATGTGGTTATGTCCCAATAAACCCACTGCAAGTTGAAAATATCATAAATTCAAAATGCATATTTAATACACCTAACCTAACAAACATCATAGCTTAGTTAAGCCTACCTTAAAAGTGCTAAGAACACTTCCATTCGCCTACAGCTTGGCTAGGGTTTTAATCATCGAACACAAAGACTATTTTATAGGAAAGTGTTGAATTTCTCATGTAATTTACTGAATACTGAACTGAAAGTGAAAAACACAATAGTTGTATGAGTACTCAAAGTACTGTTTCTACTGAATGCATATCACATTTACACTATCATAAAGTTGAAAAATTGGACGTTGAACCGTCTTAAGTTGGGGGCCGTCTGTAAATTGCTTTTCTGAAATGTTGAACAAGGAAAATTATCTTTTTTAAGCTTTTAAGATTCATTAACACAGAGGTGATACATATTTTATTCCTTGATCTGTATTTATTAGGCTCTTAATTTTATTTAAAAAACTTTATAAAAAGCAACCTTAAATCCTGAATCAAGTCTTCTAAAAAAATCACCGCAATTGTGTATACCTAATTATGAGAACTCAGATCATGAACATACCTTACTAGTGTTAAATAAGAGAGTGGGCTAAAATCGGAGTACAATTGGGACAAGAGAGGAATTGAATTTATAGTCGAGAAATTTCAGCCAGGAAGTGACTTCTAAGCTTTATCATCTAATCAGGTCCCTTGTCTCTCTCTTTTTTTTTTTTCCTAAAGATTTATGCCCTGGCATTTAGGTCCCTTAGGTCTCTTGTCTCTAAACAACATGAAAGCTACATGAACGAGACAGACATCACCTATGCATGCTGAAAATTTTCAGAACTTGAATTTATAGGCTATCGCATGAATCTCTTCCAACAGAAGAGAAATACACAGGCTTATAGATAATCAGCAAAAATGACCATGAGAAAGCGTGCTGGAGAAAAAGGTTTAAGCTGATGGACATTCATAACATTGTTTTCTTTTTATATTCAAGCAAAAAATAACTGTGCCCCATATAGTGTAGTCAATCTGTACCTGTGATATTATATTTTGTAAAGGAAAGAATAACAACACAGTTTGTACATTCTGACTTTCCCCCTCCATCTTAGGGAAGAATATAGAGTTACTCTACCTGGCGAGATCCATGCAGCTATCAGTGAGGTTGGTAGAAGAATTGAAGTACTCTCTGCTGGCAGCCAAAACCAAGTCAATACTCTTTTCATAACTGACCCTGTAGTGGGGTTTCCCTTTATGGGCTATACCACCTGGGGGATTTTCTGAACAAGCACTGCAGTGCATCATCTGTCCAGCCAGGTGGATGTTTTCAAGGCGACTAGAGCACAGAAGGCTTTCTGTAAATATCTGGAAAAAAGGAGAAACTGGAATTAGCTATAAAAAGGGAAGATTCAATTCTCAATGAAATGAAGGTTCTGAAATCCAAATGAAATAAATCAAAAAACACATCCATCCTAGAGGTGGTGGCTGCACAGCATTGTAAATGACAATGAACTGTATACTTTGAAATGGTTAATTTTACATTCTGTGAATTTCCCCTCAATGAAAAAAAGTCAATCTTTTAGAAAGAATAATTTCATTGACTAAACCAAAATTAAGCATAATAATGTATTACAATAAATACTTAGGTCAACTATCTAAAATTGATATTCATTAAAAACAGGATTAGACATACTATCCCACTCTCAACAGGGCCCATTTTGCTTAAAACTATTTTTAACCATTTCTATTTTTTCTCTTTTTCCTAATTTTAATTTTCATTTTTGATATGAGTTCTTGCTATGTTGCCCATAGGCTGGTCTCAAACTCTTGAGCTCAAGCAATCCTCTCACCTTGGCTTCCCAAAGTGTTGGGATTAAAGGCATAAGCCACTGCACCTGGCCCCATTTTAATTTCTTAAAAGAAAAATCTTCGAATATAATACAGCTTGAAGCATCTCAATTGTCTTATGAACCAGTCATGCCACAAATGCTATACTTACAGTCATTAAAATTAAAATATATTATAATGTTGAGTTTTTTAAATAATGTACATATTAAAAATTATTTAAATAAAACAAGAGATACTGAAGATATTCATAAAAATATCATTGTACTCTACTAGGCAACTAACAACATCAATTAACACAAAATTACTTCTATAATTGAGATTGTTTATATAAACAAAGCAATCCTTTTAAACGTACACTAACAACGTTACATATAATTAGTCTAAGAACTTCCCCAAAAATGTACTTCCCTGTCACTCTATAGTTGGATGAGGATAGCACAGAAATCAGAGATTTTTAAAAAGTAACATTTAATGGAGAAGCAAGAGTTTCAATATAATTAAGAAGACCATCCAATCTTCACAGGATGCCCTTATTTTCACCTCTTTGTGTCTAGGCTTCCTGCAGAAGGCATTTTTAGACAAGTCTTTGCTAAGATGTCTGATAAGGATAAAAACACTATATCTAAGAGGGATCCGCTATAAAATAGATACTGTGACAGAAAGCAAACTATTAAAGAGCAACCCTAATCACTTATATCTGACAGATAAAAATGGCTTACAATATGTCTAATCCAGATGACTTATATGTCATAGTTTCTCCATATTTCTCTGGTCTACTCAAGTAAGCCGTAAAGAGTCAATGTCCAATACTGAAAAATATATTTGCCCTAAAACTTGGAACAGTTTGCTAAAATGAACAACATAGATTTCTGTTCTACAGGCTATATATAAATCTTTATCTAACATTTTCAAAATTATGCCACTAGAACTTTCAAATTATTTTCCAAGGACAGCAAAATCTAACAACCAAGTCACTAAGACAACATAGCATATTTTAAATTATATTTAAAATTTGAAGTCTGTCAAATCTTTATTACTGTCTCCTACAGCCTTTTCAAAACTGTTACAATATGCTTTCAAATGTTTTCTCCACAAGGGAGACCCATGGACAGAAGTCATTAAAATACCAAAGCCTAATAAAAAGGTGTTAAAATATTTTTAAAATGTAATATAATGAGTTGTTTTGATGGATTACTCCACACAGAAAATAATTCAAATGTAATATACTTACTGCCAATTTTGCAATCAGAATCAGAAACAGGAATGAATCAAAATAATGCCACTCCAATGTAAAAACACTACCTCAAACATACTAGTGACAGTTGGGTTTTAAATCTCATGTGCATACAAATTATGTTCTAATGAAGTTGGTTTCAGGTTTTGCTTTAGATGCAAAAGGGGAAGACACTGGCAGTTGTATGTGGTCAGAGACTGTAATCATCAGTAGAAACATTAGTTATTCATGCATTTAAAAACTTGAAATTCAAATATAAAACCATTCATTTCTCAACAGTCTACATTAGCACTCTTTTGTTAAAATCGCCCTGAATTTAAAAACTAAACAATTTCACAAAGCAGAGACCTATTTTTACAATTCTAATTTCATCAATGGGTTATGCTTTGCAGTATAACAGCAAAGCAACACAAGAAATACTCTTTATGATTTTGTGTCTGGCTTATTTAACGAGAAAATTCAAATTTAAAAAACTTGTTTTAGATTGCATCTTACTAAAAATGAGTTAGGTCATTTTTTCCACACAAATGGAAATATATATATTGGTAAACTGCCTCTGACTTGGAGATTTCACACATATAAAATGGAAATATAAATACTGGTAATCTGCCTCTGACTTGGCGATTGGACACACACACACACACACACACACACACACACATGTGTATATATCTCTTCCAAATTAATGAGTAAATCCCCCTGGATTATATTCCCAGTCAACTGACAACCATTTCTTACGTATCCTTTATATTCCATATGTTATAAAACGCATTAGGGAATATGAGAGTGCATATGATATAATAATGTCTGTCTAGGAGCTGATGACCAAATGGAAGAAATCCACAAATAAACAAATAACTACATTTTAAAGAAAGACTATAGTAGAGGCAACTTATGAGGAAGGACAAAGGAAGGTATCCTAGAAAACATAATTAGTGAGCTGAGTTCTGAACTTTTATTTGGAGTTTTCTAAGTAAAGGAAAGAGGAATATATTCCAGGCCAAGGGAACAATGTGTGCAAAGTGATGGAAACATGAAACAGCAGGGTGGACGGAGGAACTGATGACAGGCTTGATAGTGCTACTGCAACATAGGGTACATGATGGACAGTGACAAAACTGGAAGGGGTAAGGGAGCTGGCATCTTCTGTAGCTTTCTATGTCATGCTAAGGAGTAGAGCTACTTTTTGATTATTGATATGGAACAACAACACATTTTTAGAAGGGGTGTGTCATGAAAAGATTTGATGAAGCACTAGTTAGTTATTGGCTATTATTAAATAATACTACTTCCAGGGTAGCTTATGGTCATCATTCTTGCACTCAATAAACCATAACAATCAAAACTGTTGAATTAAAAAAAAAATCGTGTATGGTTCTAGAGTTACCTCATAGCAGGCATCAGAATCTAGACATGTGTATACATTCTGCTGCATAGTTAACATGTCTTGCAGCAACGTTCTCCAATGAGACTCACTGACAGGAGGCTGCCTGGAACAACACATAAAAAAGAGAAGGAAGAGGAAAAGAAAACAATTAATAAAACTCTTTCTTCAAATGGTCAAAAGTTAAAAACAAAAACAAAAAAACCACTCTACATACCACATCAGCTCTCAAATGATCAAAAGGAATATATCTCCTTTAAATTGACAGGAAAACACTTGGATTAAACATAGAGGGGAAAGCTGGGCAGCTATGCTTCAATGCTAGAGACGGTGACAGAGCAGCCTGTCATAGCCTGCGCAGACACACGCTGGAATGGAATTGAATGGTAATTACGGTAAAGGTAAAGAAGCTGTGTTTCTAAGGTAAAATGAACCATTGCAAGATAAAGCAGCTATGATACAGCAGAAAAAGCACTTGATGACAGAGGTTGGCTTCAAATTCCATCTTCATCACTCAGCAATCCCTGTCAAGAGGTCTTCTGGACCTCAACTGAACATTCACATCCACAGGACAACCGCAGGCCGCATCTGCCATCAGCCTGGGGGACAAGAACCGCGGCTCACCAGCAGGGCGGCATCAGTTGCTTCTTAGTGAGAGTACTGGCAGCAGTCCACAAAGCAACTCACAGAGCACTCCAGGAGTTCTCTTCTCAGGTGACTGCCCCAGTACAAGGAGCCAGACCCTCAGAGAGTAGTTGTTGGCGTTGCTGTGTCCGGCTTAGGAAGAAGCTACATGTCATGAAACAGCCAACATCTCTTGCAACGCACTCAGGAAAGCCCAAAGCATAAAGCCTCTGTCAGGTATTTCTACTTCATTTACAGGTCCTCCAGACCAGAGGCAATTTACCAATCAGGGATCTGTTTTAGCTAAGTAGTGAGGCCTCTATAATCTAGTTGATTAAAAACCACTTTACATTGATTTCCAGAGTTACAGAGCTAGGGAATTAATGGTCAGATTCTCCAACAGCAGGGGAAAGGGTTCTGTTCCCAAATTCAAACAAAGTCACAAATTAGTCGTATGATTGTGAGCAAGTCATTTAATATTCCTGACTTTCACTTTCCTCACTGGAAGCCCACATCAGTGACAAGCAATAAATGAGATTAATTTTGACAAAACACAGGCATTGAAGCAAGGTGCTCCTAAATATAAGAATAAGCTAAATTATCCATGAATTTGAATAAATTTTCTAATCTCTCTGAACTTTAGATTCCCTTTTTGTACAGCATAAACATTAACTTATACCAAAATACATGAAAAGACCCCCCCTATTTTTCTGGTATGTAATAAACATTCAACAAATGTGAATGAATGAATCTGAAGTTACAAATACATCTTGGTTTTTTATTTTTTAAGTCACGTATATGATTCTAATATTGATTCAAGTAGGAGAGACAATATGCTGTAATTCTCTCTGCCTCTCTCCAAAGTTCATCTTAGTTAAATATACATGAGTTTGAAATCATCATTTATGTTTACTTTCTAGTCTTGACATTCTACATAATCATGAATATCATTATTCAGGAGGAGCAGGTTTTTGTTTTAAGTTGGTCAAATACCAACTAGATGATGTTTCTTTTTCATGCACCTTTTTATTTTTGATCTTTCACAATGCCTTTAAAAATTGTCACTATGCATTAAAAACAGGGCAGATAGATTGTATGTGTTTAACAGTTATTGCTATAGAAAAAGTATATATTTGGGATAATTACAGCAAAAAATATAGTCTTTAAAATTTTTTCTCCTATAATTTTTAATAAGCACATGCTTCATTTGCCAATGCATTTTATATTTATTATACAAAAGGAAGAATTACTCTTGTTCCATATGCAATTAGGCATATGAGAACACTTTATTTTCTTCCAGCAGACAAATACACAAAACAAAATGATATATTTCAAGTATTTCACGACAATCCATGAAATGTTTCCATTTGTCTGACCTGGGTATGTTAACTCTTTAGGCTTCAAAAAAACTGGAGCGCTCTTTCAGATTTCTTACAGGCAGAGAAGTAGCAGAATGATGGATGAAGTGAGTGTCCATCTTGCACACACTTGATAAAATCAGACCTAGGCATTGTCTAGCTAAATTCAATTTCTTACAGCCCAGCTGTTCTTCTGGAAGCCATCCACACTGGGGCAGATGGTACTAATATTTTCTCACACATGGCTAGCCATAAGTAAAGGTTCTAATAAAAATAAACTCATTATGCATTATTTGCAATGGCCTTTTAAAGAATATATTCAGTAAATAAGAATCAAGAGTAGAACTTGAAGAAAGTAACCAAGAGTTTTGCAAATTAACAGACAGATCCCTGAACACAAATGCATTAGTTGCAGCTTTGGAATAGATGTGGATTTCCCAGGGATAAATAGTGTACCTCAAGTTAGTAAAACTTGCATTTGTGACAGATTTGCTGACATCTGCCACCCTTTAGAATATGCATAAGAATATTCTGTGGGTATTGAAGGCCAAGCCATGGAAGTATGCATAAAATAATTAAGATTCATTTCAAGTCAACTATTATGAAAACAGGCCTCATATTCTCTTATATATTCACAGTAAATAGATTACCATGGGTAGAAATTAACTTCAGGGACTCTGTAAGTATTTAGGGAACTAATTCGGGGGTAGGGGAGGTGGGTTGGTAGGTAATCTAGCAGCAATTACAATGCTTTCCTGCTGAAAAGTAGATGCTAGAGTAAAATCAGCATGATCTTGGAAATATTGGCCATCCATTTGTAGCTATAAAGAAATCTTAAGGCATTTAAATAGTCAAAGTTATCTAAATTACCAGAGAGGGCCACTGACATGTAAGTTCCTAACTGAGGTGTATGGTGGCTATAACACTTGCACTGGAGAAATTACGATCTAGAAGGGAACTTAAGGCACATATGTTAATGACTGTAGTATAGTTGCAGTGTAACACCATATAGCTGCAACAGACAGTAGGAGAGGTAGATACAAAATGCTAGGGAATTTCTAGGAAGGAGAATTCAATTAAGCTTGGAGGAGTCAAACAAGGTCTCCTGGAAGATGTGTTGGAGCCAGCTCTTAAAAGATAGAAAGGAATATACAATAGTGTGTTTTTACTGCTGGGTTTTATTTTTACTTTGATAGTCGGGTTAAACTGAATCTCTAAATCCTAAAGTTTAGGTAAACAAAATATGTTTAAAAAGTTCTTGAAAAGTTGCCTTTGCTTAATTCTACTCCTTCAGGATTAGTGCTTGAGGTGGCTTTTTTCCCCAGTCTTCTTTACATTTTTATGTAATCTCCCTACAGATCTGGAATTTAACCTTCCCATACACACATGGGGATCATTCTCAAATCCGTAACTCCAGTTCGGACTTCTCTGCTGATCTTCATGTCCATCTTCACAGCAGCATCTCCACCTACTGTCCAGCAAGCACCTCCAAGTCATACTTACCCTTTATTCTATGCATAAACTAAATGACTAATAGGTCAAAAAGCTATGAGTTTCTTTATGGACCATTTGGATATCATCTAATGAAATGTCTTTCAACTCTGTTGCCAATTTTTCTTTTCTTTTTTTAAATATACATTTGACGTACTACGTTGTCAATTTTTCTACAGAGTAATCTGTTAGTTCTCTCATGGCCTTCATAGCCTTTATAAATATTCTCTTCATATTAATTAAGTATATCCCCCTCTGGACCAGGGAGGTACTATATCTTTTTCTTTGTAAGCCAGACATCAAGCATAATACAGACACAAATTATGTCAAAATCCATAATAAAATATTCATTAAATAACGTAAATAAACAATTCCATAAATAAGTGCACAATTATAAAGTATGAATATTAATTGTTCAGTTTTCCTGTCTCTGTTGTAACTGGCTCTAAATGAACTTCCAAAGAACTTAGCAAAATTTCTAATTTCATTAGATGTGCTACTTTAAATGATGACAATATAGAAAGAGACAAAATGAAACAAAGTTTTTCCAGATTTTTAAAATCTGTCATTATCTTTTCACTCACTTATTCTCACTTATTCCTTTGAAATGAGTAGCTAAAAACTATCAGTGCTTTAAGCAACACATACTAAAAAATAAGTAAGTCATTCACTCACAATTTTTTTTCTTTTAGGACAGTGTCTCACTCTGTTGCCCAGGCTGGAGTGCAGTGGCAAGATCTCGGCTCAATGCAACCTCCACCTCCTGGGCTCAAGCAATTCTCTAGCCTCAGGCTCCCAAGTAGCTGGGACTACAGACATAAGCAACCACGCACAGCTAATATTTGTTTGTTTTTTATAAAAACAGGGTTTTGCCATGTTGCCTGGGCTGGTCTTGAACTCCTAAACTCAAAGTGATCTGCCCACCTCTGCCTCCCAAAGTGCTGGGATTACAGGCATGAGCCACTGTGCTTGGCCCATTCACCAAATTTTTATTAAGCAACACATTAAATATTTTCTGAGCATCAACTATGTACCTGTCATAATGTTTGTATCAAAGATTCTATACTTGTGCAACTCTCAAATGAATATATACATTAGCTGGAATTTTTATTAGGAATGCAGGAAAAAAACAGAGGAGTGAGAAGAATTGACATCTTTCCACTACTGACTCTTCCAATCTATAAACATGATGTATTCCTCCATTTCTTTAGATCTTTAACAGATCTCAACAATGTTTCATAATTTTCATATAGATACTTTTGCATATCTCATGTTAGATTTATTCTTAGGTATTTAATGTTTTGATACTATCATAAAGTTTTCCACTTCATTAGTCCTGCACATCTCATGTTAGATTTACTTAGGTATTTAATGTTTTGATACCCTTATAACATTTTCCACTTCAACAGTCATGTAAGAAATGCATATTTTAAAAAGACAATGAAATGCCACTATATACCCATCTAAATGGCTAAAATGAGAGAAAAAAAAATCAATATCCAGTACTTGTGATGTAGTGGAGTGACAGTAACTCTTACATATTGCTGAGAGAAATATACACAGTACCATTTTGAAAAACTGTTTGGCAGACTCTCCTAAAGTTGAACTCAGGTATATCCTATGACTCACCAGT